TAATGTAGGAGAGATACTTGATAGGGATAAAAAGAAAACTGTTAAATATACTGACTTAAGATCTAGTCTTAAAAGAATGTACCCTGGATATAAAGTAACACAAGTTAACATAGTATTTGATTTTCTATCTGGGTATCACACGGATTTGATTAGTAAACTGGCTGATGTAGGCCTCACTGATGGTATATAAAAATTGTAAGAAAGTGTCAGAAATGAGTTATTTCACAGAACTGTGAGATTGTGAAACGTCTGTACAATTGTTAAATTTATATACATCTTTGTAAAACCAGTCATGCAGATATTTGCTTAGACTATTCATGCCCGCAATATTCTGTATTCATGTGGCAAAAATGTCTGAAGTCTGAAGTTGAAATAAACATATTATAATAATAATAATAACAATAATAATAATAATAGTAATAATAATAACGGCTTTATTACAGCATATCCACATAGGTGGCTCTTCATCTGCAATACATTAAATAAATAGCGTAAGATAAATTCTAAATATAACAAAAATAATTGAGGTAATCATCAATTACAATTAAGAGAAGAAAAAATAGATATATATATAATATATGAGATTTAGGGCATATTCACAATTAAGAAGTCTTTGCGCTATTCATTAAGTGTTTAGAGGTGTAATTAAAAAAATTGTTTGTGATGGTACAGTTCCTTATGAATAAATAGAGGATAATATTATTACACGGTGGTGCGTAGCCTAGCTTAGCCTGTGAACATGGCTTTGGGATTTTCAACAGTTGTGTCCTTTTCTAAGAAAAGGAAAAGGCGTTGAATGCACTGACTATATGCCGAAAAAGAATACACAGAAGAGCTCAGTTATTATTGTTCAGACTGAATTCGACTGGCTTACCATATTATTCTCTCAGTGTCTGCTGCTATAGGGAGAGTTAGTTATACAATGGACTACTTCGACGATTCGGCGGCCATCTTGAATCGCAAGGCATTATGGGTCGTCCAAATTAGACAAAACTTTGTTACAGTAATGGCTTCGATTGACATTTACGGTTCACAACAAGACAATTTGATAAGAGTTGAATTAAAATAATATGAACATTTCCACAACTGAAGAAATTTTTTCTCAAATATCGTGGGATCGTCATTTCAGCATCGTTATTTTGTTTTGCCTTCTGGGCGACCCGCGTCGTCGAAGTAGTCCATTAAAATGACTTCTTTGGATCACACTTCTTCTTACAGTTCGCTGGGTCAGTTCTGAGCGCTATACAGAGGTGTCAGTTCTTTGGATCATTTTGTTTAACCAAAAATCAAAAATCTTTGGAAGTGAATTTCTATTTTATTTTCTTATTTTCTTATTTTTCTTCGAGTCCTCGTTAATGTGATGCATTCTACTGTTTCGACTCCGGCGGAGTTCCACAAGAACCGAGACGGCCTAGCTTGACTGTTTGTATTGTGAAAGTCGTGCATTCTTTACTTTACCGTTGGTATTTGTGAATATCCGAGATTGCATCTTGGACACTTAAGATGCTTAAAACTGTTTCATTTTGCACAGGCAGCCCAAACAATGTATTTATGGTGTACATACACACTACAAATACATTGCTTGGGCTGCCTGTGCATTCCGACTAAATCCTTTACCCTGGTTTTTGACATTTTAAGTAAATAAAATTTCATAAGTAAATTCTAAAACAAAGGGACGAGTCAGTGTTTAATTATTTCAGCACTTTTATTTGTCTTAACTCTACATTTAATTAGATTTAAGCAAGCACCATATTTGATCAATCATTATTTATCATTGTTCCAAGTGCATTGCCCATGTGATGTCCGTTATCGTGTCCGTTTGGTCTGACGTCAATGTCCACGTGACTGAAATAAACCATAAAATTAATATTAACTATTAGACACAATTAATATTAATAATAGTACATTAAAATTGCTTCTTTCTCTGTTTGTCCAATTAATATAATTCGTTCAACCCCATGTTCTATCACGTTAATTCTTTTAGTACATGAATTTCTTTGTCTAATATTGACGTTTGAGAAGATGATACAAACGACCACTTTTCCTTGGGCGTAATCTTTTCATAGTTCAGACCACGTGTCATTCTCTAGAGTATCATTTTTTGTTTAATGGTTGCACGTGTAAAGAACATGAATATGAATACAACTCAAACAAACAATCTTGTTCTTAAGAGAATAACACGTGTTTTGAAGTGGGAAAACATTAGATACACTAAAGTTAAAGCTAAAGAGGTCTATTGTTGTACAGGTCATTCAGAAGAAAAGGTAACATGACCTTGTAAATATAAACTCGTTTAATAATTTGCTTAGTATCTCTCCAATATTTATCTTATCTGAGTTTATATTACCTTCTTTCCTTGATTCAAATTCCTTTTGTGTCCTCCCTACCCCATCCCATTACATGGACAGGACAATGAATATTTACAAGCACTGCTAGTGAGTAAAAACAATCGTCATTACCTTAGCACAGTCCACACATATATTGGCAGTACGACCTGGCAAACTTTCCCATTCTAGTCTTTGGTGCGATGCAGTTCAATGGAGTAACCAACTGATTACAAAAAAGAATAAAACAAGTTTATTCATCTACTTATTCGTTTACTGCTCTTCATTTATTTAACCAGCCATTTGCTCATCCACTTATCTATCCATTCGTTTATTCATTCATTCGTTTCTACATTCATTTCTTCATTCATTTCTTCATTCATTCCCTCATCAATTTAGCCACTCTCTCCATCCATCCATCCGTCCATTCGTTCATTCAACTATCAAATCATTAATTCATTATTTCATCCATTCATTCATTCATTCACAAGATTCAGTTTGCCAATTTATAAGGATAGTCTTACTTTTCCACAGATGTTTTTCTTGTAATTGTTGACACACCCACTTCTCGCTGTGAAAAAAGAAAACAATTTGCTTTAGTTTTGCTTCCAGGAACACGGTTTTTATCACACGTGTAAACTTGCTTGAGTATACCCAGTCTCTTCAGTTACTTCAATCGGCGTTGGACTGGTATCAATAGGACAAAAGAATAACAATGACAACTCTTCAGTCGACTGGATTTCTACGGCATTCAGTTACTTAAACATTAAAATAATCTCTCCGCGCCATAAAGATAAACCTTCCTTGATAGAAATAAGAATAGAGGCTTCACGTAATGGCAGCCATGACAGGAGGCAGGAAAAATTGAAAAAAACTGGTTTAGTATGATGTACATGAGAAAGAATTCACTTTCCCAGGGGAAAGATGCTCTATTGTTGAGCCAAATGTCATTTTTGCCATCACCTGATGGTGCAAAGCCTCTATGCACTATTTTCTTAAACTTAAAGGAGCCTAGCTTTTACACAATCTTTCGCAAAAGCAATCAAGTAGGCGACTTTTTATTAGTCATAATTTATGTATTGAAAAATTTAGTAGTACTTACCATCTTCTCTTTCGTCTCTCACTGAAGGAAAAACAACAAAATAAAGAACTTAGCTTGATGATTTTCTATTTTCAATGTGAAAAAAAGGTTAGAAGAATATCTACACACAAATTCCAATTACAAAGTTACGATGTTTACAAATCTTTAGGTGCCTCTCGCACTTTACTTAATTAGCGTAAGCATTTTCAACCTATTTAGACGGTTTACTTATGATTTTCTCATGCAAACCAATTTCGTTTTTAGCTTAAATGAGGGTTTTCAATTTTACAGCTTGTCGTTGATTGAACTTCATTCAGTTTCACGTGAAAGCTAAATAAACTGCGTATAAATTCACTAGTTTTGCAATTTTAGCAAGTTTGTCAAAATTAAGATTGTATTTTATATGCACTTTACTATAACCGTGGTAAATTCAATAAGAGAATAAAAGCTAAATATTTCAAGTGAAAATTTAAAAAAAAAGTTTTTTGAACGGGTTTTTCAGTTGATTTAATCCAATCAAAAAATGCTTATCGTTAAATAATGGATCTGCCGTTTAATAGATCCGTTTGATTAAGATTAATTTAATTAATTAAGATATTATGAACGTTTGAAGGACTAAGGGAAGTTAAGAACTAGAGCAGAGGAAGCATGACAACAAAATATAACAGTAAAGAAAGAAATCATACTAAATGCTTACAAATGGAGAGTAGCTCTTGCTCATTAGCACTGATCATGGCGACGCCAAGAAGGACAACAAATACAATGACCATGGATTTCATCTTGAAAGATTGAGATTTCTTGAACTGCTTCTTTGAAATGTGTTTTTAAAGTCTTGAGCTACTGAGATGTGTTTGTTGCTAGCAGAACCTCGTATTTATACAAATGCGATGTACACTCTTGCACAGCTGTAAACATCGTGGTATTTCTTGTGGGATAAAATTTATTTTTTTAGTAAAGAGAGTTTTATTTTGTGGCTAGGCTATTGCCCGCCAATGCGCAATATATTAATCCCCATTAGAGGCAGACGAGAGAACACAGTCTAATTGAACAGGCAATTAATAATCTCATTATCAATAGAGATCTGCAACCTTTTAGATGTGCGGTATCAGTGCGCTATTTCTATAGCTTTAACTTATCACTAATAACTAAATATTTGAAATTCTTTCATGCCGCATGAACGCAGCTAGCACTTAACTGGCTTCTGTTTGCAAACCGATTTCTTACTACTTAAGAAAAATCTTAAAATAAAGTAAATCTCCAAGGTTTAAGAAAACAATGCCAGTATTTTCTGACAGCTGGAGAAATTATCATTGGCATAATAGCCTTGCTTTGTTATTTTGTTTTTTTATAACAGTTTGTAGATTAAATGGTTTTTTAATGATTTAACTGTGGGTTTGATCGCGGTATCGTAGGATTTTATCAAAAACGTACCAGGAAATTTAGATAACTCTTATAGAGCATTCAGTGTGGTAAGGCATCATATCAGACTTGTTTAAGAATGGGAAATCATCCCATTTTCCAGTCGTTTGGAATTCCAGTAATGAAAACAACCCATGCAAATCTTGAAACAAATTTCTTATAGCAATAAAGCCCACGAAGCTAGTCACGGGTATCAATGCAATAAGTTGAAAGTTTACGTAAAACGATTAACGGCATGACGATAAAAACAAAGTTTTTCTTCGGAGTGCATACCATATACATCCGTGAAGAAGTTAACTAATACAATTGCAAAAATAAGTGCAAGGTTTTGTAGCAGGTCTACGGTTTGGTCTACTGAGGTATACTGAAATCACTAATTGGTGCAAAATATTTTACAACGTTTTGGACGGATATATGCACTGACTCTGTTGTCTAGTACTATTTCATAGTACTTTTTCACGGTGAAATAGTTAAAGGTTTAACATAGAACAGAATCTCATTTATATTCTTTTCTTTTGTGCCCAGTTGAGTTTCATACATTAAAAAGTAATCAGTATTTCACCGGTGATAAATTAAGTATAAAATCGCTTGCTTATTTGCACTTGGTAACTATCATAAGCACTAATTTAAACGGCTTAAAAATGATTGAACATTTTGAATGACAATTTTGTTGTTATTTAGTGGCATTCGTTGTAAACCTCAGTATATTTCATACATGCATTTAAGTAAGGAATCCAACCACCTTTTAGAGGTTTAACTCGGCGTTAATTGATCTAATGCGCAAATTCTTTCTTTTTTTTTTTTTTTTTTTAGAAAATTGAAACCGTTTAATATCTTACCTTAAATCTCTTTGTTTTGCCTTTGAAGGAATGCGCGAAAAAACCGCCTGGTTACCATGGCAACTAAGCCCATGAACGTATTTCCGGGTCCAACTGCTCACAAAAACCGCTAAAAGAAAGCGAAAAATAATTGCAATAATCTAACCTCTACCTGAAACAATAACACTGACTTTAGACAGCAAATCCTGTCATTATGATAAAGATACCCGCAGTGGCGGATCCAGCATTTTTCAAAGGGGGGTTCCGTTTCTTAAACTGTGTATAATTCTCTTTTGTTTAGTCGATGTTTGACAAAAAAAAGTGGCTCTAATCACCTAATTTACTATCTAGTAACGGAACTTAAGAGGCTGTCTCTGTAAGAACCACATAACCATTTTGGATGAAAAAATAGATTTCTTTCAAACTTTGTGTGTGAGTGTACCCTTCCAAGGTTATTTCCAAAACACATTTTGTTTTGTGTCTCGGCGCTTTTTTGCAAAGTTTCAGGGGGGGTCCCCTTGGGGGCCAAATTAGTGATTTTGACTACTTCTCATTCATGAAATTTGGGCGATGTTTAAAAATTCGTAATTCCATAACAAATCATCACAACACTAAATCCTTCCATGTTATAGTACACATATATCTTATGCAAAGATGGGTGGCCTTAAAGTTAAATATGAACTTATTTATATCTAGATATTTTAATTTTACCGACCATCGATAATCGACTTTGACCAGTTGGCTAAAATATGGCTTAGGAAAAAAAATCAAAACTCAAAAGTTAGACTTCGTAGGACTATAATATTTGAGTACTGCAGAGATAAAAGGTAGTTCTTACAGAAATTAAAATAATATTTTGCGGCCAGCAGGTTTTGAGAAGTGAACAGGTCGACAAACTTTCAGTATTTTTGAGATTTAATGTGTTACGTCAAAAAGGTGCAAATAGCTTTGAATGCGATTTATCTTTAAATGTATATAAATTCACTGTTTAAACTGGTCTAATATATTTTTAAAACATTTTAACCACACAAATTGTAAAAAACGGTTTTAGAAAACAGTATTGGAATCGAAAGACTGATATCACAACATGCCTTAACTGTAAGGTAAAA